CATACATTTGAGTGTCATCATTGCTTGGCACAATGACATGTTACAAATAAAACTAAATCAAGAATAAACAAAATAAAATTAAATTGTCCTCTAAAGCCATTGTGATAATTTGTATCTCATTCATTTTATTACTCCCCAGGGTCCTACAGAGGAACCCCTTGCTACCCCACCAGATGGTGCACCACCGCGGTCCATTATTGCACACTTTTTGAGCTATAGAACTAAAGAAGAAGTCCTTTAAAAAGCTTGGCATAAAAGGAGTTTCCTTTGGAGAGGTAAACAGATCAATCTGGATCAAGACTATGCACCCAACATACTTAAAGGGAGACAGAAATACGCTGAAGCTAAAAGAGTATTAAAAGAGAAAGGGATACGTTTTCAAACACCATTTCCAGCGAAACTACGAGTGTTTTATCAAGACGAGACACGACTCTACAACATGGTGGAAGAAGCGACAAAAGATATGTTCGAGAGAGGTCTTCCCATCACTGTCATCAAACCACCAGAGACGCTGGTGGAGCAAATAAAGAAACTAACATGGACAACGACCAAAGAGAAATGGAGAGAGCAGGGTCAGTGACYTACACATGGAGATACACAAGCAGGTCCATCTGTCGCAGACAGACTTCAACAGTATTGGAGAGAGACATCATAACGCAACAGCTTGTATGTAAACAACGATGTGCAGCATCATAAATATGTATAAAATTACTGCTTAGCTTAGATTTGAAAGCCGGGAAAAGCTTGTTTTATTATATGTACAGAATGTATAATCCAGAGGACAAGGACATTTTGTTCAAGGGCCCACCCCTAATAGGGGGGTTTTCCCTCCTAAAGACTTTACTACACCCAGTCTTAAAGGGTTATTCAGAGAAAACCCCACAGATGGAAGTCAAGATGGCTTTAATGTTTTTTCCTGTTTTGAGTTTTTACAGTATTGTGTTTTTCTCGTTGGCTGCTGTTCTGTGCAGCTCTAAGTTCATTATTAGGACAGGCGGTAAAGATAGGCTAAGAACCACAACTTCTCACCCGGATGGACATTAATAAGAATATGAAAATCCTCTCCTATAATGTGAATGGTATTGTAAATCCACAGAAAAGATCAGAAATATTGACTAAATTAAAAAAGGAAAAAAGCCCATATAGTGCTACMCCAAGAGACACATTTGTCAGACAAGGAACACGAAAAATTAAAAAGAGGGTCTTACAAGAAGATCTTTGCCTCTTCATATAAATCAGGACATAGAAGGGGTGTCGCAATCTTAATATCACAACATGTACGCTATGAACATTTATCTGATAAGAAAGACAAAGAGGGCAGATATATACTGATTAAGGAAAAGATTGATGGTTTACTGGTGGCTAATTTTTTTTTCTTTCTGGTGACTATTTTCAACATATATATGACAGAGTCGAAAACCAAGAATAAAATACAGTATATTACAACTTTCAAAAGGTCGGGGTGGCTTATCCTTACCAAGCTTAACAGATTATTATTATTATTCAGCTCAGTTAAGGCCTCTGGTGTGTTTATGTGATTCTAATTTTACAGCCAGATGGAAAGACATAGAGGAGCATTTGACTAGAAACACCCCAATACAGGCTATAATAGCAGATAGACAACTACAAATTGAACTAACTGATGATAATAATCCTTGGATAGGACTCTCTCTTAACATTTGGAATAAAGTCTGTAAAGAAAATAATCTAACCAAAGCAGAAATAATGTTACGATGGTGCATATATGATAGTGAATTCTTACCTAACCGCCATGACAAGAGATTTAAAGAATGGACAGAAAATGGCCTCACCTCATACTTTAAATATGAACATAAAGGGCAGCTGCAGATTTTCAAACTCTTAAAGGGAAATATAGTCTAAATAATTGTGATTTCTTTCGATACTTACAAATAAGAAACACATATAAGGAAATCCAGAAAACCATCTCAGGGACAAGTAATAATGCAATAATAAATATATTTAAATTGGCTTATAGCCATGGCTCAGTTAAAAGAGTCGTAGCACAATTATACAAAGGACTTCAGGAAAACAAATCTCTTGACACACTGGGTGTTAAAAAGAGATGGGAAAAAGAAATGGGTACAGAAATAGATAATATTTATTGGGAATTCTTGTGTAAAATACAATGGAAAACAACTTACTCAGCGAGCTGGAGAGAATTCGGATGGAAAAATGTAATGAGGTTTTTTATCACCCCAGCACAAAAAGCTCATCAACYTATAAGTACAGCCTGCTGGAGACTATGTGGTGATACAAAAGCAAACCATTACCACATAATTTGGGCCTGTCCAAACATTTTACCCTTCTGACAAGAAATTCATAGATGTTTACAAAATATTTTTCAGGCAAACATACCTTTTGATTTCCCACATATATATTTAGGATTGGAAATTAAAGACATTACAACAACAGCTGACAGATATCTACAGTTGTGGTCAAAKGTTTACATACACTTGTAAAAAAACATAATGTTATGGCTGTCTTGAGTTTTCAATAAGTTCTACAACTCTTATTTTTCTGTGATAGAGTGATCGGAACACATACATGTTTGTCACAAAAAACAGTCATAAAATTTGGTTCTTTCATAAATTTATTATG